ATTATATAGCGATTTCATTCTCAGGCCAGCTGAGCTCAGTTCTTTTCAGAAGGTTCTCTACCCGAGCTCGGTTTGAAAAAGGGACAGCTGTGTTCATAACTGTGGCCGTAAAAAAAACGTATTTGTGTGCAGAGTGGTGTGGTGGTTATTCTCACCTAGACTGGGTTTGTGTGTATTGTTATTTTTGCTTTGCTTTTTGGTGTTTAGTGTCAGTTTGTTCAACAGAAATAATTTGGAATTGAAAAGTCATTCAAGCTGCAATGAAAAATAATAATATATTACATTAAATAATGAAAATGTTAAAATTGCAGGTTGGATTGTCTTCTCTTAGGCAATGCAACATCTTTTGCAGCAGAGAACACCCTGGTATCACAGGCTGACTGTAGTACCGTGATAAGAACTTTTTCTCAAATGATCACTTCTTTCCTTTGTCCTCTCAGGAGAGTCTCCTTTCTCACAGCTTTTCTTGAAAGCATGAGACCGAGTGCAGGTGTTAATCTTTGAGATTTTTATTAAAGATTAAAAGCAGCATTTTCGATAACACCCCCGACACATTGTTAGAAAATACCCTTAAATCCCAGAATGATTGAAAGTTCATCCACTGATCAATAACCACAGCCATCTGTCTGCTGCTGGATTGTTGTTTCCTAAAGTTAGTATCCTCTATACCTGAATGCATTAGGTGCTGATTCAGTGATTCGATCCACTGTGAGTCTGTGCAGAGATATCTAATTAAAAACATTTCTGAACAGTATGTTACGTGACAAAGTACCAGGGGAGAACAACTGTGGGCGCTAAACCATCCTTCTTATCAACAGCCACTGAGTGATTTATTTCGACATTTGAGTGCGGAGAGAAGATATATTTTTTAGCTCTGCAGGAACCTGTCAAATTCCACTTTAAACCAACAACAGTAGTTTCAGGAAATAATGTGACTCAAATATTATGTACTCATGTAACCCTGACACTAGACCCTGTGGAACACCACAGTAACATAACCCATAATTCACTGATCTACTTATCTTGGTTGTTGTTGTTTTTTTTAACAAGCTGATCAATAATCTACAGTACAATACAATAAATTATTGGATATACACTCTGTAGACAGGAACTGCGATGGGAACATGGACGGATCGACGTAGCAGCTACATGTTAGCTTTCTCTTCCCCATGTGAGGACATCATTTTCAGTGGCTCCGGTGTTATCATTTCACACTACAGAATTAAAAAAAGAGAGGGAAGAAAATAGTGTTATAATGTGAGCATAGCTGTCAACCAAGGGAACATTTCAAGGATTTTGGCTTTTCTCTGAATAGTGAATTATTCATTTAGAAAAGTTAAAGTTAAAATGCTTGTTGAGGTATTTCTCATTTTCTTATGAATTCCAGAGGTCTCGTCACTTGGCTTTTAACGGATGCTTTCAACAACTTTCGTCAAAGGTTAGTAGTAATGTGGGAAATCATTATTTCCAATAGGTGTGAAAATTAGTCTTTTCAGAACTTTTTTCAAGTGGTTGAAGTGAATGAAGTGTTTGTGTTGCATTCAGCAGGGGGCGCTCTAATTGTCTATAGATTTTTTTAATTAATTGAATAATCTAACCAATAGTCAGTGAAACAAAGGTCGAGACATTCATGTGTTTTTGATTTGCAGTTGAATGTGTTTGAATGTGTCATTTTTCCTACACATACAATAATGTAATGTAGAAAGTGTGATATTTGGACAGTATTATTTCCCATCACTGGTTGTTTTTCTTGAGCCAAGTTAATGGGTACTGTAAAAGCAGCACATTTGAATCTGCTGGTCCATTACCTGCAGTAAATGTATGAAAACACAGTATTGTGGGTAGTTAATGGCAGGGCGCAGGTGAAGCAGCGCGCCAGCACAAATCACTCTTCGGCAGGGATTGTTAGTTTCTTTTGATTTGACTTTGGTCGTCTGTCACCAGAATCCATTCCCTGAAATCACATCACTATAATGGTCTGATCAGCACTTAACCAGCCATGTTACATAAAATCAATGCCGCCCTCCATTTAAGAATGCAGAATATTTTAGAGGAGCTGATGAGGGCACGTGGGCGGTGGGGGCGAAAGGAGTGCTGTCAATACAATCATTGGACAGACATGCCCCAGTATGGGTAGAGGATGCTCTTACCCTCGGAGTTCACTGATCCCTCAGAGATCCAAGCTTTTACAGCAAAACCCTTTGTTTTGCTGACTAATCGTGTATTGATTTTAAACTAGTTGTTAAGCCCAAATAAGGTTGTCAGGCCACTGCCAAACATCTCCTTTATCCATGGACTCCAAGAGCAGAGAGCTATATAGATGTCTGTAGAGTAATCCCACCACCCTCGACTCCTCATTTTATCGTATCAGGCCGACATGTGTAGGGTGAAGAAGGATGACAGCCGGCGATGTTGTCTGCACCAAACTCCAACCCTGTGGTTTGTGTAGGATGATTTTTGTCAGTAGAAATATTAATAGCAGGTGCTGTGTGCCACATGGCATCAAGACTCTCTACGACATGCAGGCTGTCACACAATGTGACATCTCTGCAAATAAATGTGGCAACTACAAAAATTACACTTATGGATAAACACCAGAGACACCTCCACCTGGCTGAGAGTGTTTTCTGTAGCACAGAGAACAGTTCTGCGGTGCCACATGAATTGTGTACTGTCTGCTGCCAGTGAAAAGCCAGCAGGGTCATTTTGCATCATTATTGATAGAACTGCAGAACATAAACTTTACAATGCCAACTCAGTTTCACCCAAACAAACCTTGGAGTTGCAAATTGTTAAAATGCTGAAAGTAACTCACGGGTAGATGAATAAATCTACGCCTATACAGCAGATTCGCGAGGCGAGGGGAAAGTGCCGTGGAGCTACAGCACTATCCTGTGGTGGAAACAGGTACTGCGTTTTCTTTTTTGGAAATGTGTTTGCTGCCCACAGAGTCACGGCAGCTTGCTTGTTTTCGTGTTATTTATTTGTGGTTATTATTCAACATACTTTTACTGCTTTATTGTTTTAGTCACTATTTGCCCGGGTGGGAATATAATGAAAATATGAAAGTTAGGCTGAAATAAAATTCAAATGTCGATTAAAAGTACTGTTTTCTGACAAGTGCAAAAAATAAAATATGTAGAGAAATTAAAAAGAAAACACCAAAATATAGCCAAGTGACATTGCGAATATTTAATTAAATACCACCTAAAGAAAAACATAAAAAGGAACTTGGAAATAATGTCAGGAAAGCCAAAATATAACTATTTTAAAAAATAAAGCTTAAAATTATCCGTAACTATTTGATACATTTATTTAAATGTTAGGCCACACCTTTTTCCAAGTGCTAGGGTTGGCCCCATTTCACATTCTATGGACTTAAACACACAAGTGACCTTTAAATTTCCATCATCATTTCCACTTCTATGTCAATGGATCAGATAATAGGTCTGTTCTGGTTCCCATTAATAAACTCCACGTGCATAATCGCTTCATCCATGCAGAATACAATTAATGCAATTGACCCTGTTGACTTTTCCAATGCATCATGTTGGGGTTTAATGATGATGTGTCACAAGCAGCCGGAGGTGGAGGCACCCGGCTCAGTGTGCGCTGCCAAAGCCAGACCAGGGGCTCCAACGTTGACAGCTGAGACCAGGTGAATAATTGTCTATAGAATCTTATTACATTGTTGGCATGATCTGATTTACTCCTGCAGCAAATGGTGGGAATAAACCAAGTGTCGGTGTGAGTATTGAATTAACGGTGCCACATGGAGTCGGCACTGATGGCAGATACCTCATGCAAGATTAAAGAGGATTTCCATGTGGTTGTGATAGCTGTTCTGCCTGCTTCATTACACTGTTGAATCTCTCCCATGTGCTGGAACTCTCCCTGTATGGAAAGAGGAGTCCGTTACTCTCTCCCTGAAATATTCTGCTCAGTAGACCAGAAGACTGGAGTTGACATGCACCAGAAATGTAGTCACAATTTTAGAGCAAGAGACAGAGCCCTCCTTTAAATCCAGGCCTAATCGATATGGCTGACAGAGCCCAGCCAACATGTCTACTGTATGTGGAGCCAATATGAGGTAACCTGGACAAATGGGTGCAAAAGACATGTATCTATACACTGGCTTGTGCTGTATACCTGTTATCCCATGTCCTTATATAGTCAATTCAAAATGAAAATACCAAAAAGGTGTCCTAAATTGAATATTTTATTCATGAAAATGATTGCAAAAGTACAACACTAAATAACAACACAACAATTAAAATTTTGATCATCTATAATAAAATAAATCAAACAAAAACTGTGTAACAGAAATAGCACATTTCATAAATTGAAAACAAATGAGAAAAACGCTGCACTTCTGAGGTGTTTTTCGAAATAAATTATAAATACATTTACCACAAATGAAGGTAATTTCATTCGTCCATTGATTCATTGAATTAAACTAGTAATTCAGTGATCTTCTTGCTGCAAGTTAAAAACATTTACAGTACTACTCTTCCACCATGTGACATGGTATTTATTGTGCTTTATCCTGTTCATTGCCCGACTCGAGGTCAACATAGACATTTGCATCTCTGTTATAACATAAACTTCCTCCATATTTTTTATATATATATAAAAATCTTTTCTGGGCTTTTCTACTTTTGTTTTGCTCTAGTAGTCCTTGTACTGTACTCACGTTGCCTGTGCCAACTAAAAGTAAGGAAGGTGCGCATGGTTTGGTAACAACAAAAACAACAAGAAATCACAACATCACCATCATGTTCTTCATTAAAAGTTTTCTGTTTAATTGTATTATTGTTATTTTTAAAAAGTATGTAGGGGAAAACGTGTGCTTTAGCTTTTAATGACGATGTGCACGTCAAAATTTCCATGGGCTGTGGCACTAGTCACCCTCCATACTTACATGTAAGAAGGCACCATTTGATTGGATGCCTTAAGATCCATGTGACTGCCTATGACCAATTGTAGGGGACTCAAACAGGAAGTGAACAGCTCAACGTGAAAGTCACTGTCACTGAAGAACATGTTTTAAATTCTTAAAAGAAAAAAACGTGTGTTTCGTTTACTTATACTGGTGCAGATGTTTTTGTGTCTTTGTGACTGTTATAGTAACAGTGTTTACTTATACTGGTGCAGATGTTTTTTTGTGTCTGTTATAGTAACAGCCCCGTTTTTAAACAATGTTTCAGACTATAACTAAATCATTGTGTGTTACGACAGTGGCAGCCTCTCGGTGTTTTTGTAGATATCCGGGACAATATAATATCCGACATTACTGTAAGAAAACACCCAGCAGACTGTGGGTGTCTGAAGCACTTTCATCATCTGAGCTGAGAGAAAATATCATCATACAGGTAACTGTCTGACTTCATTACGCTCTTCGTTGACACAGCTGTTATGTTTAACTGAGAGCATCATTTTTAACAAAGGGTTTCTTTAACATATTTCATACTATTGTTACTTCGTCTTCTGTCTATGAGCTCGGCTGTATGTTCACTAAAATGTCGCCAGTGCTTTGTACCACTAACTTTAGTTTTAACACTATTTGAGATTGAGAGCTTACTTTGTTAACTTACAGCACCGGTTTTTGTTATGACTAATAAATACTGTAATTGTATGCATTTCATTCCATTCAGCTGTAGTCACCCTTATAAACGTAGACTGTATTTGCAGTTCAGTATCCAAGGTAAAATAATGAAAGCTTTATACAGTATATCCCTAATTTTCTCTTTGATGTAGGGATGGGTTCGGTCTGTCAGAGCTCAGAAGGCAAATCTCTTCCTCCATGTCACTGATGGCAGTTGTCTGCAGCCACTGCAGATTGTTGCTTCTTCAGAGTTGAATGATCCGTAAGTGCTTGATGGAGGCAGCTGAAGAAAGAAGACATGTTTATTCATAGTCCTATTGAGTGAGAAATGCCAATATATGTAGAATATAATGTTTTTAGTTTCATTTTAATCTCTGTGTATTTGCTCTTCATACGTAGGTCACTTACATTTGGGAGCGCTGTTGAAGTCACTGGTGTTCTTAAGAGGAGTCCACACCCCAGACAGCCAGTGGAGCTGGAAGCCCACCACATCAATGTAGTGGGCAAATGCAATCCTGTGGTAGATGCCTTTTTGTTCATGAAAACAAACTCACTCCTGGAGATTGAACTTGGGTCTTAACTCTTGTGCAGAAAGTAAACATATTAACTTTCTGCTTTCTCTTCAAGGAGTTTCCATTTAAAATCAAAGACAGACACAGTCTGGAGTACATTCGCCAGTATCCTCATCTCAGGTGTAGAACAAATGCCTTCGGTTCTCTGTTAAGGATACGAAGTGAAGCTGCCACAGCTATTCATTCGTACTTCAAGGTCAGAAGGTCACAAAAAAAGTTGCTACATATCTAAAAAAAAAATTTTTTTTTTAAATTAAGTCTTTATTTTGTCCATATTTTTTTCTTTTAGAAAAATGGCTTTGTAAATATTCACACTCCAATCATCACATCCAATGACTGTGAAGGTGCAGGGGAGCTCTTTCAGGTGGAGGTGTGTAAAATGTATTTATTGATGTTTTGGCTTTTTGTGTTTAATTGCACCAATGTTATTATTTCAGTTGCCTGTGAGTCTTTGAGTTAATGTACATTATGACACAACATAATGTACTTACTGCTGTCACTCTTTTTTATGAAGCCATCAGGACAGAAGCCAAAGGAAGATGAAAACTTTTTTTCTGTTCCTGCTTTTCTGACAGTTTCTGGTCAGCTTCATTTGGAAGTGATGTCAGGGTGAGATATGCATATAAATATTTTAAATTTAAATATTTTTTTAATTGTTTACCTTTTTAGGTCATCAAAAGCATCAACCTTCAATGATTTTTCCTTAGTTTACATGTTTTTGTGAATAGTTCACATTTAAATCTGCAGTGTTAAAAGTAGTAAAGTCATTTACTTTGCCTCTGGTACATCATCTATATGTAGATCAAGTTTGGTCAGGTTTATAATTTATTTCATGCTCTGAGTTTGTTTTCTCATGTGGAAACATACACAAAGTACATGTCTAACCACTAATGCACCTGCAGAGCTTTTTCCAGAGTCTATACATTTGGTCCAACATTTCGTGCAGAGAACTCCCAAAGCCGTCGCCATCTGGCTGAGTTTTACATGGTTGAGGCCGAAGTCTCCTTCACACAGTCCTTAGAGGATCTCACCGAGGTACACCATGTGATTTTCCACAAACACAGTATGGCTGCGTGACTTAAAGAAAATCCTTTATTTTAAAAACGACTTCTTTGTGTTACACTAAAAGCGCCCGTGGTCACTGTGTGCCTGTAGAGCCTTAATTATTAAACTATGTCTAGGTCATGGAAGACATGTTCAAATCTGCCACAGAGCATGTCTTGGCTGAGTGTTCAGAGGATGTGGACTTGTTTCACAAATACGTGACTCCTGGACACAGGGTGAGACCTGAAATACACCTGAATGTATCACTCTGCTGCCTATTTAACAAATTAGAGCCTATTATTATTATTCTGTTTAACCTAATGTAGCATTAGCTCCAGTTGTTATTATTGTATGTATTAATGTTGCAGTATTATTGGAAGAGAAATGGAGATCAAAGTAACCAAGACCATTTAAATGCTTAGTCGCTCATTAAAATCCTAATGGAATTACCTGCAAAAAATGCACTGAGTTTGAGTTTTGCTCTGTTCTGCTTTTTTTCAACTTTTTTGTTCTTCACCTCAAAGGGAACTTTAGATGCTATGATGACTACGAGTTTCCCTATGTAAGTTTGTCACTTAGACAAAAAACATAAAAATAAAAGTCTATAAAAGTCTAATAAAAGTATTGATGACTGACTAAATATAATCTCTGTCCTCTTTCAGTATCACCTACAGCGAGGCTATAGAAATTCTGAGCCGCAGCTCTCAGAAATTTGTCTTCCCAACAGACGTGAGTGAAGATGCTTTTTGTTTTCTTTCGTCTTCTCACCTCTGCTGTTGCTTCCCACGTAAACATCAACACTTTTTACAGTGGGGCTGTGACCTTCAGACAGAACATGAGAAGTACCTGGTGAATCATTGTGGCAACATTCCAGTCTTTGTCACTGATTATCCATATGATCTCAAGCCCTTTTACGCAAGAGACAACCAGGACCGTCCTCACCACACGGTAAGATGTGTTTGTAACTCGTGACTCAGAGTGAATCAGTAATGTGGTGCTTTAGTTTCTTCCCTGTCACGTCAGTGGGGTTATCACAGCAGTTTGCAAATGAGAGGTAACGGTGAGTGTTGTTCATGTACAGGCAGCTGCAGTAGATCTTCTTGTTCCTGGAGTGGGAGAGCTCTGCGGGGGTTCACTGAGAGAAGAGAGGCTGGATCTGCTGAAGAACCGACTAGAACAGTGAGAACACGTATCCCAGGCTTTATTAATGTTTTAGTGACGGTTCCCCAGTTCAACATTGTCTGTTGTATTTTTCCAGGGTTGGATTGGAAGATGCCTACAGCTGGTAAAACATTTAATCTAATCATTTACACATGTAAAAAAAACAATCCCAACATAGTTCTCATGAGGTTTTATTTTGTTTTTGCAGGTACCTGGATTTGAGACAGTTTGGCTCTGTCCCTCACGGTGGCTTCGGAATGGGATTTGAGCGATTTTTACAGTGTATACTTGGAGTAGACAACATTAAAGATGTGATTCCTTTTCCAAGATTTTCCAATTCATGTTCTCTCTAAAATAAATCTTTAAGAAATGTTTGTCTGTTTTTCTAAATACAAAATTTAACTTTGGCTTTGTTTGTAAGGTAATATAAATGAAAGGTGTCCACGCACTTATCAAGTGTGTTCAGACTTTTTTCAGGGGAGGGATGGGAGTGGTCATCTTGATTGTTTAAATGGCCTAAGGTTTAACTGTCAAACTCATGTTTACAAAGAAATGCATTTATTGATCTGTTTTCTACAAACTATACTTCTAAAAACAAAGCTTTCCTTCCACTGCCCCTTTCATCTCTTTAAACGCCTTTAATATTAAATATTCCACCTTACCACCAGATGGCGCCTTTTCTCCTAAAATTTCCAATTCCTGTTTTACATTTCAAAATGACAGCAGTGAAACAGTGATTCAATAGTATATTCCAAAAATGTGAAAAAAGACAGTTTAAAGAGATTACTCATTACGTGTTAATACTATGTGACGAATCCCAATAAAAATAATAATTTAAAGTAAGATTTTGTTGTCTTTCGATATTCAAGCTGAACACTGATTACCTTTTAAAAACAGTTCTGAGTTAGATAAGTAGCGGTCCAGTGGATCGATTCGGTTCCTCCATTTTTAAAACTCTTAGAGCGACTTTGTGGCAGGCAGTTTTCCCCATCCCGTTCATCCAGGCACGGCCCATCCCTCTTTTTCCTCCGTGGGCGTGGTATGAGTTAGGAAAACAAACTGCAGACAGCCTCTGATACTTCCTCACCCTGCATCAGTTGACTTTTCCCCGGGGCACCTTGTCAGCTGGCTGTGCGTAATTCTCCCAACAGTCTTTTTTACGTGTCTCCTTCTTACTAACGGGCGTCCAGAAAACCGCCCCCGACTCTCACTCCTCCAGTTTCTGTCAGATGGTGAGGGGACTGTGCAGCAGCCCACGGCACTTCGAGCAGACACAGCTTTAGGAGGCGAAATGTACTAGTGACACACGGCGGTTATTGCGGCAGGAAAAGCGGGCTGATAGCAAGCAGTATGAGCGGGGGAGAAATCATCTGCCAGGGCTGGCTGAGGAAGTCACCGCCGGAGAAGAAGCTGAGGAGATATGTAAGTTAATCACACTTTTGCTTTTGTTTTCTTCTGCAGAGTTGTGCTGGTCCACGGCTGTGCGCAATGCTGTAGATTGTGTGTCCTCTACTTTCCCCTTCTACTTTTAGTGTTTATTCTTGATTGTTAAATGCTGATGCTTGAGCTCTACTTGTAGCAGGTGCACCAACCAACATGTGTGAGCAGCCAACTAAGGCTATACATGATTAAAATATATATTATACTTCTAGAAGTATAAATGTCAACTATAAAAGTGATTAAAACCTTTGTATTAGTGGGGATATTAGTTCGGGGAGGGGGAGTTAATCCTTTCTAATTCCTGAGCTGAATTTTATTTAGACAAAAAAACAAACTGCCATTTTTTGAGCTGAATTTTATTTAGACAAAAAAAAAACAAACTGCCATTTTGCTTCATTCGACCCTGATGGGGTAATTAAATGTTGGTGGGACCAGTTTGGCCATAACACTGGTGATAACTGCCCGGCCCCTGAGTCTCTTTGGGGACTTGAATTATTAAAAAATGATTAATTTGCTCTGTAGTTAAGCATGAAATCAGAGAAAAGGGACTGAATGTCTTGGGCTCATTAAAAATGACATCCAGACGATTGGTTCTCAAAGTATGGTAGATGTACCACTGGTGGTACAAAGGCATCTTATAGTGGTATGCAATAGAATCGTACTCCAGTCATAACATTTAGTTTAGTTACTTAGGTGTTAAATACAGCTGTTATTACTCCTTCCGACTTTGCGTTTGTGGGCGTGTCTATGTAAATGTGTGATTTTTAGAAATAAATTTGAGTTCAGGTTGTGCTACATCATTGTACTGGGTGGCTTTGGCTAATAAATACCTAATGATCTAATTAGGAATCCCTTGTCTTCTTCATATACTGTGCTTATCTGATCAAGGTACAGCTGTGCCGCCGGTTTTTTTGTTAATACTTGGGGAGACAAATATGTTTTGGAGATGAGACACAGTGTTATAACTTTTGAGAACCCTGGTGCTGCAGAAAATTGATGAGGGTTGTTGTTTTTAATGTAAAAATTGAATCTGTTCCACACTGCACTCCACTATCTCTGCTAAGGTCTTTTACTGTGATCTTTTTGACTCATAACTTGGCAACAAGTGACAGTATCAGTTAAAAACCAAGTTGAATGTATTCCAGTTGAACCAGACAGAAAACAAGATTTAATCATGAAATAAAAGAAAGAACGTCTCTCTTTCCAGAAGTCAGCCGGAAAATAATTTAAAAGCTACGGGAAGGTCACGCAACTTGCTTGAGTTCTTAAAAAGATAAATTAAGATGCCAAAAATGCAAAGAGACATTAAATCATTGCTCTTACTTACAGCTGATGAAATGAGCAGCAGAGCATTCGTGTTTCTTAACAGGATGTCCCCTTAATTTGAGGTAATGTTCAGAAAACCATATCTGGTACTTGACTGGGGAAGTACAGCTAGGCAAATTAACAAATGTAATACACCCATCAGTGAAGTGGAAAGTTGCCCTAGTACAGCGGTCATATTTGTTTAAAACTAAATAGGTTACACTGCAACTGCACCTGCAAAGCATCCCTTTCTAACCACTAGTTTTATAATATAGTTTTACTAGAGAATAAGACAAAAAAAATAGAATAAGTAACACAGCTTGGAATAAGTACGAAATAAACCTGTGATTGCTTGTGTCTGACTGTAACTGTAAAGGTACCACACACATTAAATGTACATGAGATGAGTGAAGGTCTTGAAAGGTCTTGAAATCTTCCTGTGCTGGTTTAGTGGGATGGGGATTGTTTAACGTTGAAGCAGCTGGGTGGAGCCGAGGATGGAGTCCCACTTAACAGTGCATGTAAATGCACTGTCTGTGGCTGGGTGCTGGGCAGGTGGGGGGATGGCTGCAAATCAGATAATAGGATTTATGGAGGCAGATACAACCATGAAACAATCTCCTGTAAATACAGCTGTCCAGTGTTTATGCACGGTGTAGCATTACCAGGCCTCTCCATGTTCCTACGAGCTGACTTTACCATGATGTCATCCTTCTGTTTCATCTGGAAATCCATCCTTGAATGTCTTCAAATGAACCCCGTCTTTTCCCCTTCTTATCACCGTCCTGTGACTTTTTTCATTGTCTTTCACTTAAAGTCGGTCAGTGTTTACATGGAGACCACGGTGCTCAGTACATAACAGCAGCTGCAACACTACAGAGGGAAAAACGGCCTTTGTTCATAAGAATACTGTATAAACAACATGAGAAGAAAAAAAAAAACTTCCTTCTGGCATAAAGGTGGTAACGTAATGGCCTTCCTCGGGCAGAGAGCAGCCTCTCGTGGCCTCCTCAACCTGCTTCTTTAAACAACCACATGTACACATGCACACAGGCCAGAAAACAGTGTCATGAGATGGAGTGTCCACAGCAGGCTGACTTGTGAATGCGATAATCTGTCCATCTGAAATTCCTTCCACTTAAAGTCAGGCTATGGACAATCAGTGCCATTTACTCTGCAGATTTGCTGTCATCTGACATAGTTGACGTCCTGATGTTGAGGGTATTTTCAGACACTACTTTCACACAGGCATTCCAGAGTAAAGGAAGGTGTTCTGTGTCTACCAACAAACACAACAGTGAGTTTGATCAGGTAATAAATTGGAATGAGCTGATAAGGTGTAAGGAATGTGTTGTTTGGGATCTCTGACTGAGCTGCTGTCTGGAAAGATCTTGTGTGAGCCATGTTCTAGTGAAAGTTTTAAGAGAGGGTTGAGCTATTAGCAGGGGCTTGCTTAAGGGAAATTACCCTTTAAATATATGGATTAGCACTTAAAATGAAATAAAATGTTATTATGCCCATAAAATAATAGCTAACTTGCCATGATTAGTTTAAATTTGCTAGCTTAGTTATATAATATATGCAGTAAGAACAAAATGTTAGGAGCTAAAACAGAAATACAGCAAAGATATTCAGTATTAAAGCAAAGTTGCTAAAATGGAGAGAAAAACCGTATAAAAAATTATCAAAACAGTCAAAACGTCAGGAATTTAGTCCCTTTTGTGTACAAAGAGAGAAAATATTCACATTTTGAAGCTGAGTTTTTTCTTCCTTGTCTGAAGCTAGAATAATATTTGACTTCCAAAGTAGTAATTGATCATTAGCTTTCTATATTTCTAACACCAAACTATTTCCTAATTGCTAAAAATGTGTATATGATTTCATGAAATAATAATACAATACATCTTTAACATTTTATATTAATTGATTGTTTTGTAATGAAAGCATGTTTAAATCCTTAACAATACAATTTCTATTGAAAATACACTAAACTTAAAGTGCTGTACATGCTATGTATGCACACAGTCCTTACATTTAATAAGAGGTCCTACCTGTGTCTTCCCTCTGACAGAGGCCGTAAACATAACTTGCAGTGTACAGTGCAGAAGTTAGTACCAGGTAGGGGGAAAAAATCATATAAAACTGGTACTCCAACCACTGAAATTGAGAATGCAAATGGTATGCAAAGCAATCAGCGAAAAAAGAAACTGAAAACAGTGGTGGCAGTTAAGGGTGGGATTCAACAGCTGGTCCAGGCAGGATTTAACATGTTTATGTGTTCAGTTATATAAAGATGAAGCAACATGTGTGGCAAATGTTGTAAAATGTTTACCAAGTTAATTACCTCTATGACTCACATACTGCTCTGCAACCTCTTCTTGCTGCTGAAACACATGGTGGTCTTAAACCCTTTGACCCCCTCCCCACTGGACCCCCACACCCTTGCAAACATGTGATAGCTGAGCTATGTGTAGTCACTTTTTCACCACATCTCCCCAAGGGAAACAGTCGTGCACTCCAGTCGTGGCTGCTAAATGCATCACTAGGTTGGTGTTCCCTTTCTTCTTCAGGGCTGATGGAGGCTCCAGAGGTGGGCAGTGCTTTTGGGGCGGGGTTTTCTTTCTTCTTCTCTAACAGTCTTCAAAACAAGGTAAAGAAAAACATTGACGAGTCAGTGATGCTTACTCATTGCCTCCTGCATACAGTAGTTAATTCAACGTTACAACTATACTACTTTTTTATTTTTATTTTTTTGCAAGTCTGCAGTCAACAAGATCCGTGTTGTTTTTTTTTTTTTTTACAAGAACCTACTTTCAGAAGTAACTAGTTTATCAAATGTGTCCTGGCCAGGAGTAACTGCAGGTTTTAGATTCCTAATAAAATTATAAAACGATGAATGTGATCTTTTGTCATAATGTAAATATTAGCTAATTACTACAAAGTTTAATAAATGTGAGACTCAAAGCTTGGTATGAATAACAAAAGTTGCAGAAAATTTACAAAAGGTTTTACTAAATAGTAATCTCTAAATATGGCTAATAATCCACAAAAGAAAAATATCAAAACTTCACAATTATGGCTAAATTAATTTAAATTAGATTAATCCCAATCCTCACATGTTGCTTAAAATTGACCAAGGTGACTTCCTGAATCAAATACGGAAAAGTAGCCCAACATTAGTCCATGAATATATCGCTAATATAAGTCAGCATTGAACTAGTTTGTCTGTTTGATCTTTTTGAAAACCTGAAAATAAGGTTCTAAGACGGCTTAGTTAAGGAGGAGATTATTACCTTTGTGTAACTTTTTATGTTTATTTATGCTTCACGTCATCTTAGTGAGTCATTAATTGTACTTTGCTTGCTCTCCATGAATCATACAGGCAGCAAGTCACACTGTAAACAGTCTGAATCCTGTTCACAGCGCGGGATCAGCTACCGTTCACTTTAACCCGTTTGTCCACGGTTTGTTGACATCACGACAACGTGTTTGTTCACATACAGTCGAGCAACACCACATTCCTGACAGATCCTATCTGTTAGGTGATAACTACAGCCGCTGCTGCCGCTGCTGCTTGTCCTTGTACGTAAAGGTGCATAGAAAGGAAAAATAGAGGAAGAAGTCAGTGCAGAAGGAGGAGCAGGAGGAGCCTGTGTCCCAGTGTCAGCTGCGGAATCGGCTGTTGTTTTGCAGAGGGGCTTTGGGAAGTCCTTGCCCCCAAAGGTCAACTGAAAACGCCTCCCAGTTCCTGCTTTGACAGACACCCAGCATTCAAACAGACATTTTCCTTGTTCCACTTTATCTTCAGGTCCTCGAGCCGGCCTTCCGTCAGAGGCTGCAACACCGGGAGTGTGTATATTCCAGCAGTGTCAAAGTCATTTGAGTTTATTATTACATGTGTTACATGTTTATTGGGAGACTTGTTGACAAAAGGCTGGAACCTTTAATGATTTAAACTGTTGCTTTGTTTACATGCTAAATTTAACTCATTGACATACTACAGTATGTATTTATTTAATTGGCTAATTAGCACTGTGAAGTGGCAAAAACAGGTCGGACAACCAAACAGTCACACTTCAAGTAGTACTTGTGCTGACCAGATCTAACCAGATCAAGTATTGATATCATTGGCCTTTTCCTATTCAACTGCCTGGGAGTTTGCTAAGATTAGTATTCATTCAAACCAAGTAATCAGAGAAGACAAATAAAGTCATGGAGAGCCAACCAGCTAAGCATTTTTCTTTCTTTGACAAATCTTTTAAAGAGGTCGGGATTAGAATTTAAACTCAACGTCATTACAGTGACATAAGAAGTGTCCGTCACTGTTGTTTGTTAAAATGTTGACCGTGACAGGTAAAAGCATATCGTATTAATTTTTACTTCACATGGTTGTCACATTGTGATTGAGTAGTTAGAGCTCTTATAGAATGAATGGAGTGTGCGTGTTCCTCCTGTTTGGTGTTTGGCAGTTGATTTCCTCTCACAGTGCAAAAATCTGCAAGATTAACAGGACACTCTGAGCTAACCATAGGTAAGAATGTAGATGTGGATTGTTGTTTGTGGCTCTGAGATGGACTGGTAAACTGTTCAGGGAGTCAAAACCCATAGACCATAAAAAGTGTCTCCAGTGGTCAAAGATAAATAAGTCTATATGTGGATTTAGACAAGAGGCTTTAATCTTTTAACTGACTATTGAGCACATTTGCAAAGATTGGTTCAGTTTAGTGCAACTTCCCGAGGTATATTGTCAGTCTTAGTGCCTCTGTTGAGAAGGTGATACATATTAGGTGCAGTGTTTGTCACATCATTCCACTTTTATCCATTGTTTTCAACTGGCTGTGAAAATCCCACTGTGCCCTTGTTTGAACCTTTATCATAATATCCTGTCCTTTGCCATGAACTCTGCTTTGGCGCCTGTCTTTTCTGTCCAAAACTTAATTATTGCACCAATAGCAGATGCCAGACTTCCTGTGGATGGTACCTACAGGAAGTGTTGTGACAGAGGTCTGTGAGTTTAGAACTGTATTTTCCATCTATCAAGAAGACACAGTCATCTGTGCTTAAAATAGTTTTGTTCAGAGGGAAATTAGATCCCATTGATTTTTTTTTTTTTTTTTTGCCTCCTGCCACATCCAGAGCCAGAGGCATACTGTATTCAGGTTCTGTTTGTTTTGTCTCTCCACATATGCACTGTTTTCATCCATCATTTTCATTTACATTCCACACCAAATATTATTCTTTTTTTATTTTAAATACGTCACTTTTTATTGAACAACATCTAAGGTCACCTTGACATTTCTTTTTCCTCACCTTCACATTATTGCAGAGACTTTCACTGTAGGTGTAGACTTCTTTTTCAGTAAGTAAGAATATTTAGGAATATAAAAGATGACAGTTTGCTAGTCAGAATTTAGGATTTCTGTGATATGAAAAGGTACATTTTTGCAGTAACTCAAAAATAAGAAACCCTACTACACATGCCGTTAATCACACGGCAGTCTGGGATAAAATAATGTTGAACTATTGTTAGATAGGTTAGCAGTAAGCCAGTGTCAATGACGATAATTCAACATCAATAGTTTGTTGTTAATATCGGTTTCATGTCTGCAACTTGTTTGTGACACTGTGGAGGCGTCTGGTTTTCTGTGTTTTTGTTTGTTTTCCCCTATTGTTGCTTAGGCTTTGTTTGCTTTGATGACTACGTCTCTTTTTCCGTTTTTGACTAAGTAAATATTATTGACAGTGTATGTGAACTCATACATGTGATGACGCCTTTTTTGTCTTTTATGTAAATATTTTCATCTGACTGAAAATATCTTAAATGTTCTCTTAGTGGAGTGTATGAGTCTAGGTTGTAATCAGTGAAAGGTAAAATCTTAATGCTGTTTTTCTATTGATAAATACCCTCCCTTTTTAAATATATTTATTCTGTAGGATATCTAAGAAACTGAAAAAGACATTAGGAACTAGACGTCGTAAGGACTGGTCAACTAGTCAACGTTACTGCTCTATAATGACATAAAATTGACTAGTTGCTGATCTCATGTCAGCTTAACATATATGGTTCACTTACTGAAGCAATTCTTTGGTCTCATTTTACATTAGAATATTTTATATGGCCTTTGTATAAAACCATATTTTTTCTTGGAGGTATCAAGCCTCATTTGAGCTTTTAAGATTTCTAATCTAATACATATCCAATACATACAGTATTTGGTATCATATTAGAATGGGTTTAACATTTGGCTTCGTTGCTTTGTTTATCCTGGTCAGTGTGGTGCCATGAAGAAAAATTCTGCTCAGCCCACTAAAGATGACACACTGTGCTGCTGTTTATTTCCAGTTATTTGGCCTTTGTGATAGTTTGTGCCGATTAGAAGTGTGCATCCCTGAAATGCTTTCTAACTAAAAAAGTTAAATTTGAGGTGCATCAGCTTCACCTGTATTGCAACAAATTACCTTCCTATGTGTGTATTGTCATGGTATCTTCACAACATTGGTTGTGATGGGTCTACTGGTAACTGTGAATTACATTTTAATTACAACAATGCCAGTGGGACCAAACATCTCCACCAAAGACAAACAAAGCCTACACAGTCTGGTTCCTAAAATAGACAAATACAAGGAAAGAGGAAACTTGTCTGATAATCCTACTTCAACATGTATAAACAAATCTCCCACACAATGATCATACACCATTGTCTGGAAACACCATTGCATTGCGAAAAAAGGTCTTTATTATTCAGAAAAACGGTTTCTAAATTTTAAACTAGATTTTTTTTCTCCTAGTCCTGTAATTTTCACAGCCCTGCTAACAATTAGCTTCACATTTTTTACCCTGGAAATGGAAACATTTTTTTTCAGACTGTTTAATTAAAAAGTTACTTTACCTAACATTTGTGGAGTACAGTTTTTGTATTCTTATGATGCCCAGACAGTGATGAATCATTGTAGGAACTAAGAATTTCCATAACTAAAGCATAACTACAGATAAGAATTAACTCTTGAGTTATCCGGATCATATATACTGTATAAACACAGGCGTTACTGGGACACAGTAAGCACAATGTTATCTGAGATCAGCAGAGGCTCTGGACTTGATATTTCATTAAACCTACAACACCTTTAAAATAGCATTTTCTAAATATACATTTCAATTCAATACCACTTTGAGTCCTCAAATATCACAAAATGAAATGACACATTATTACATTTTCCAGCTAATTACCATGAGGATCTGGGTTGATGGTTTTGTTTCCCAAATAAATGGGCAGCTCATGGCTGAGTGATAAGGAGATCCAGCCTTGGTTACAGAAAGGTTGTGTGTTTGAATTTGGTGGTGTGTTAAGCAAGCACGAAGAATTCCCTGAGGGGCTTCTTTGAGTGACAAAATATTCCCCAGGCATGGGTCAAATACAAAAGACAAATTTCCTTGTGTGACAATGAAGTTGATTCATCTACTTCCCAAATGTTTATATATTTAAATAAAAAAAACTGGAAATAGAACTTTTTGGTTTTACATTTACGCGCGCTTACAGGTGAATACTCAACGATGAGGGGGCACAAATCCAATTTTTTGCTTCCACTATGTTAACATCCTGGTCTTTTGTTTCTGTCACTGTACATTTCAAAGTACTTGGGAATCGTACTCATCGTACACACCTCTGTATAAGAACTGCAGCCGCAGATGGCACAGGCAGAGGGAGTGACACAAAGGGTTCTGATTAAATGCATTGCTCCCCATTATTCACACTGTCAGCACAGGATCATGCTTCACAAGCCAAGCCATTAGCTTATATCCAGACATGACAAGAGATTAGTCATTTTCTTTTGATGGGAGTGCTTGCCTGCGCATTGAGGCTCATTATATCCATTGCTTTTGAGGGGTTTTGTGTATGCGATGTGACGCTCGTTTCGCACATCTATGCTCTCATGAACTGGATGAGTCACAACTGTGGGCTTCAGATGCAGCATCTCTTTTCTTCATCGTTATCACACCTGTGGAATTGAGCTTTCAATCACTGTCCAATGGTGGCATTTTTTAAAGGCTGTTTGGCACTGAGGCATGACTAGCCTCAGCTTTCATTCATATATATATATATATATATATATATATATATATACACACACACACACACACACATATACTGAGGAACCACTTTCAACAAGCTAATGGTCCGTTAATAGGAAATATATGGCTTGAGGCTTTTTTGACAATATACAGATTCACACTATCTGCTCTACACATGTACAGCAAAAATATTGAATCCAAGCCCTCAGCCAATGGACCAAAGATTCATCAGGGTAGACTTTGAGTTTATCTTGGAGCACATAGTCTGTGACCATCTTGTTATGAACCCACAGGACCTCACTGGCTTGTTTTGGTCTTCTCTGTGTGTTATGTCTTGCCTCTGCTGACATTACAAGGTCAGTGTTTTGACGCTTCACAAACCTGATCAGTTTGATTTAAACTTCAGTGGTTCTTGCATGTATCCCCTTGGCTCCAGTGGCTGTAGATGTGTATTATCACTGTCTCTGTTTAACATCTTTTCATGTTTACTTCTCTTGGTACACGGATGGGACTGAGCCCTGTCCAACACGGGGGCATCTGGATCTTCTCACTGGCTGAAGCTAAAATACGAAAAAAAGGTTCTTCTTTTTTTCTTTTTTTTTTTGGCACAATGTTCCATGCCCATTTTGTTTGTGACCTGGATTTTTTTGGAAATGCTCCAGAAATGTGCATTGTAAATGTTGTCTCGGACATCTGTCAGCTTTACAACTTAGGCAGAGCCGGGCTTTGCAACTCTGTGTAAACTGAAAGAGGTTCAAGGATTTGCTCCATGTCCTCTCATCCATTCATGGTTTATTATAGCTCACTGTTACATAAACAACAGTGGTTCTCACAGAATTAGCTCTTTACTGAAATACTCCTAATGTTGTATACACAGTGATCCACTCTAATGGTGACCTAATCTACAGTATGTACAGCTAGATGTCCTTCCACTAGGAAGCTCTTCCTACAGTATGATATAGGAAATGATCTTAGTGACATAACCTTGAAAGTTTTTTTAAATACTCGTTGTCAATATTAAGTACAACCCACAACGCATTTCAAAAGCATGGCCGTTGTTCAAAGCTGGGTCCTGGAGAACATCCCAACATTGTTCTTAGGATGTTGATCTGAGAAAGTTTTTCCTGTTTATGTAATCTCTAGAAAAATAGTGATTTTATGATTGCAGACTTTTTCTTAAATTTGGTACGTCTCCATGGTATTTGTAGTTTGTTTGGAATCATATTTTGGCCAACACTTCTAGCAGGTACCTCCTAAAATACAGCCTTAAACAGTACAGGACAGATTATATTTAAGACTCCACATTGTGCTTTCAACATTAGTCTTGTAGTCTTGTATTTTTTCTTTCAACTTTTCTCAGATTCTTCTACTTTACTTTTAATGTTTCATCAGTCAGAAGGTTGTATATATGTGTTGCCTATGGAACATTGCAATGCAGTTTTAAAATATTTGTTAACATTCCCATATTCAGAATAAAGACATAGGGTTTTCAAAGAGCCTCATACCATTGGAATTCATCGGGGTGTAATGAACAATTTGAAGAAAACTCAACTACATCAAATCAATACTCCATCATTTCCGTTTCTTTTTCAATATATGCTTTCACATCTTTCACTTTCTCAGTAAAACCACCTACAGCCCCATCACGTAAGCTGCTAATGTTTGTTCTGTGCTTTCCAAATCATATGTTTGCAGATATTTATAGTCACACCTGAAGGCAGCTGACCTACACAATGCTCTCGATAAATAAATAATCTTCAAATGCAACTTGACCACATTCCCTCACGTACTGCTACTCTCGTTGTTACTGGAATGCAGTCTGACGTGTGACCCACTATTGATTATTAAGAGATAAAAGGCAGTGCGTCATCAGTGTTCGTCAGTATTTATTGGCAACACAATTGTGGCCATACACATCCGCCCCACATTTTAACTTACACATTCACTTCTGTACTGAACATTATGCTTGTGTCTTTTACTGGCTGTGAGTAGCTTGAAACAAAAATCACACTGAGAAGTTGTCGAAAGTAA